TCAGACAGGATGCGTCGCATGGGGGGTTCTTCCTTTAGAATCAGCTGACAGGTCCCATAGCCTATCCCAGCAATGTCGCACAAGTCGTTGATGGTACGACGTCGATCTTCGTGAATGGCCTGCCGAATCTTCGTACCATTTTCGGGCGTTGTGCTCGAAGATGGTCGTCCAGAACGCTCGTCATCATGGACAGAGGTTCGGCCCTTTTTAAAACGTGAATGCCACACAAAAGTTTGTGCACGACCCATTGCGGACTCCCCAAATGCTTGCTTTAGCATTTCATAGGTTTCCGTAGCCGTTTTGGCGAGTCTTTGGCAAAATTTGATGCACACTCTTTGTTCATGAAAATCCGCCATTCCGAAATCGCAGGAGGGTCGGTGTAATGCACTACCAAAACGCCCGTAACTAAGAAACAAATGCTAATTCGATGATGCCGGCTGGCACACTAATTCACTATGAATGTAGGCCGCACCCCCTAAAGGTAGAAGCTCGTACTACATCCGGTTCGCCATCTATTGACACAGTCTGGAAACTTTCCAATCACACCTCGTATATTAGACAGTATGTCTGTCAAAGACGTTGGTAGGTTCTTATAAGTCTACACGGCGCCACAACATAGAAGATCAGTCAATTGTAATTTGATATAGCTCATCATTGTAAGACCAGTATTTTCATTGTAATAAAATTAAATAACATCGCGTATTTGTCATCGCAATCTTTCGCTGAATAGCGTTAATTTTTAGGCTAAATAAAACGAATTAGGCCTATCAGTATGTGACGATGCTGTCCTTATTAACATTCTCTGATTTTTAACGTGTACTTACAGATTTGTATGAGGTACCATTTAGTCACTGTGAAAACCAGGCATCAACGAACCCAGCCATCGTTAATCCTACAGAACCGGAGTGGAAGAAATTCGTATTCCCACTTCATTTCAGAACAAAGGACGAAGGTTCAAGATTATATCCTAACAACCAACCTAGGAAGTTTGCGCTAGGTGACGACAGCGAGCATAGAGATGTGCCGTACATTAAGGCGCAGCTTCAAAAAATGACGAAACAACCTCACGAAGTACGCTATCATAATTACAACGAATTTCGATATGAGGCTCCAGAATCTAGAGAATCTCAGATACATCGTTCAGCCCTAGTGTCTCGTGAAGACAATCTGATACAACTCAGTCCTCGTATAGGCGAAAGTTACCTGAACACACAGCTACCGACTCGCTTACAAAATCCAAATATCCGACGGAATGATTTCGCTTATCACCAGTCTATTATTCCAAACCATCCACTGGACTTGTTTGCACTTGCAGCACAACATAAACAAAGTGGAAGATATCCATACGTAACCTACGAACAAGTGCAATATAACACAGAAAACTCACCAATTGAAAATCAATACACAGCTTCATACATTTCGCCATCGTACAATGAAACGAATGACTCTAAACCATATTTAAAACAATGGCCCGAAATAATAAGACACCGATATTCAGTTCCAAATCATGAAATAAACAAATATCTTCGCCAGTCCATAGATGATTCTGCTTATGTTTCACGAAAGAACCATCAACTCACAAAACAGAAATATCAAAAGATTGAATATCTGTTGACAGGAATAACGCGTAAGAAAAATCAACAAAAACCGCTTGAACAAGCAAAGGGATATCCAGATGATAAACAGATGCCTGACCAGACTCCAGTAATAAGCCAGCGAATAGGCACAGATTTGCTGCTTGCCAATTTTGCAGAGGGGCAGAATGAAAACACAAGTGAGAGCCAAAGCAACGATTTCGATACAAACATTCAGCACTCAGAAAACACTAAGCAATCAACGTGTCTTTGTGGCCAGCCTAAGTCAAATGCAGACTCCCTTAATGATCACGGTTCATTCGCAAACCAGCAAATAGGCAGTGAGAAACCGTCCGCAGAAATTTCAAACCGACAAAATAAAACTGAAACTGAAACACAACCCAATGACTTTGTCAGCAACATTCAAAATTCACTGAACGGTCAGCAAACTACACGTGATTGTTACAAAGCTAATGTACAACCAGAAACAATTCGTCATGAAACACCATTCATAAAGCAATCGACAGATACCGACGTAAAATCCGCAATACTTCCAACCGAGAAAAAACCACAAATAGGTGTTTCAGCTACCGGCATTCAAAATTCATTAAACAGTCAACAATCTTTGTATCCTTATAAGCAAGAAGTACAAGAACAAATTCTTAATCCAATCCCTTTAACACAGAAACCAGTAGGCGTTGGTATCATTCCCACAGAGATTCCAGCAGAACAAAATGCAACTGAGAACGGGACACAAATCAACTCCTTACCTACGAGTATTAATAATTCATTAAACAATCAGGAATTAGTACAAACGGAATACATCCACAGCCCAACTTCTCTCGAAAACGAACCAAAAGGCGTTAACACCTCCACAGAACGTAGCTCGAAACTAAATACAACTTTGAGCGATACACAAACTAAGTACTTACCTACCAGCGCACAAAACTCAGAAAAAACTCAACAACTAATTGTGCCTTCTAAGGGAGAAATACAAACGCAAAATATTAATATTCAAAGTCCCTTCATACACCAGCCAACAGGCGTTGATGTCGTCCTTACACAAGGTCCAACCCAACAAAATACAACTGACAACGAAACACAAGACCATGAAATAGCAATCAGTATTCAAAATGCATTAGATAATCAACAATCAAGACAACAATATAAAGCGCAGGCAAAGCACATTCGCCAGCCCACAGGAAATAGTGAAGAGCTCCCAGATGTTCCAAATATAACTGGCAATGAAACACGAACCAAAGAATTCTTAGACAACGACCAAAATTCATTGAACAAAACAGCCAACAGCCAACAAGTACCACAGCCAGAAGACATTCCTGGTAAAATTCCTTTCATAGACAAGCCAATAGGTATTAATCAAAATGTAACTGACAACAAAACACGAATCAGCAACTTAGCTACCGACAATCAACAGTCATTAAACAGTCAATCATCATTATACTCTTATAAGCAAGAAGAACATCAACCTTACCAACAAATTTCTACTTTAGCTCCATTCACGCAAGAGTCTGAAAACGAAAGTGAAACTAAGGGTTTAATTAGCAACGTACAAAACCCCCCATTAGATCAGACAGGGAATGTGACTAATGAAACCACAATAAGTGAAACAAAACTTTCTCATGATTCTGAAGCAGAAACTGATAAACTGATTATTAATGTAACACATACGAACGATGTGACAAATATTAAGCAATCTTTCATTTATCTTCAAAAGTCTAACACAACAGACGAAATCAATGATAACAAGACTAATACACCTGGTGTGAAGAATGCATCCAATACACTGAAACCAACACCTAATAAGCCAAGTAATCAAAATCCAGAACGTCAGAAATCGGTTCCTCGGAGACCAATTACTCGAAAAATTTTCATACGATTACCAGTCATTCCAAAGCGGGCAGTTTCAGAATCAGGCGCCCTAGATCTGTCTACACCACCAACCACATCGACGCCTTCACACACCTTCGACGGAAAGCGTTCAAATTTAAGCTCTCCTGATAACATATCAGCAAGCTAAAGTGTACCAGAAGAATGTGATTCGTGAAAGGGCGTTAAAGACGTGGACCTGCAGATCTGGAATGGAGTTCAGCCAATTTATTAGGCTCGTATATTTAAATATTATTGTAGTCATTAGCATTCACTATTCCTAAAAACGTGTCTTATATTTAATTTTAATTGCATACATTTCAATGTTTTTGTGTAGATTACCTCGTTATTTAATGAACAATCTAGCACTTGTCTGCAACAGTGTCTATTACTTGGGGAATAAATTATTAAATCTCATGAAACAAATGAAAGTGTCTTTATAAATGGAGTTACACACAATATAACAAATAAAATACGCTGAAACTTTGTTGTTATTACCTTATATTCAAATGTATTTTTTATCTTGGATTAAAGTTTTACATATTAGCTTAATTTCACTCAATCATTATGTCTCTAGAACATATGCCTGAGACTTGTGTCATATTTAATTACGGTAATAGTAAAATAAAACTGTTTCATGGCCATATGGGATGTTTTGATTCAGGTTTCTCATCTGTCCGAGCGGAAAATTGACTCGACCTTGAAGCCGTGTCGTTTGCTCAATGCAAAAAAATATATATCTTATGATAGATATGCAAAGTTGAGGGCTGTTTAACCAAATGCATTGGAAAGTAAACTCTTGAAAAAATAAAACACTTATTTTTACTCTGTGATTATTTTGACAAAACTTACAATAAAATAGTGGTAACTTCTCGCCTTATCTTCAAATAATAGTGTCCATTATATAAAACATATAAGAAACTCGGAAATAAATATACAGGATTTGAGGTTTTCACGGCGGTGAGTTTGAAGATGGCTGTCTTCAGGGTTGTTGCGTGTGTAGTCTGGTGGAAGTTTACCGACATTTCAGAGATCCTTGCTGCCTCCATCATCAGGGCTATGAATTCATCGCCCTGATGATGGAGGCAAACTTCTACCAGACTACATGGCGCAACAACCCAGAAGACGGCAATCTTCGAAAGTAAATAATTTGACTATCCTCATCATACGTGTTTTTTAAATTTGTTTCACAGATTGAGATACAAACTATTTTAGGATATTTAATTGTCGTGTCTATGTTTAAGAGTTAGCAATGTATCGTTCTTATTGGAAGAGTATTTGTATATGTGGTTTTAGTTGTTCGTAATAGTTCCACGACGATGTCAATATTTTGTAAAATCATGCTGCGATATATTTTCCGAGTTATTTTTTGCACCTAATTTATTGTACGTGGTAACCTATATGTCAAATTATATTTCTCGTGAACCGCCAGAACCAAACACTCGATGTTAGGAAACTCCCCGCGTAGTTTCTGTAGTACAGAAGTTGCTAGTTTCTGACTCGAAGAAAACTGAAGTTTCTGAATATCTCTGCATCCTGTACACAAGGAATCGATAAGTAACGGGGCATCGATTTCATGACTTAGTATTAAACATCGGAGCATCGGAGCCTGTTCAACGACACTTCTTATAAAATCGTCTGTTGTTCCTTTGAGCGGACGAAACGCCAAGTCTTTCCATAGCTTCGGGTCTTGAGATACTTCCTTCCACCTCTTGTTCACATGCTGGATAGATAAAACCAAGTCCTCCACGCGGCAGTACGAGAAGATTTCCAGCAATATCTCGTCTGGAAAGCTGTCGATTGTGTTTATAGGTATCATTACTGAAGACTAACTTCTTCAAGATTCTGAAAGACAAATGTATACGGTACATCGGGCTCAGATCGTCATAGGCTACACATCTTTCATATTCTAAACTCCGGAACTCAGTTAATTTGCGTTTGCTTCCTGTCAGAAAGAAGGACAGTGAGAGAAAGGAATATGCATAAAGAAAGTGAGAAAGAAATATATATAAGAAAAGGGAGAGAAAGAAAATGATAAAGAAAATAAGAGAGAGACATGAAGTATGAGAGAGAGGAAAAGCAATATGGAGGAAGGATAAGGGTCAAAATGTAGGTAAAAATACATGAAACTGACGAGTGTATTTTCAAAATCTACGCTGAATAAACTTTCTTTATTAAAGAGTGTAGAAATATGTTCCAGAGAAACGTGAGGTAGCATGAAGACGGCTGTCTTTTGTGTTGTAGCGCCGAAAGGAGCCAAATGAAAGCTTACAAATTAGTGGAAAGCTTCAGGGGAAAGAGAAAAAATTTCGTTAATGGGCACTTTCTGTGTGGCCAAGATTATAAAATGCGTAAAGGTTAAGGGGCACAAAAGCAACCATAGCACCCGCAATGACAAAAATGCATTTGAATTCTGTATAAATAATGCAAAATTTGCAAGACTTCTGTCCCGATGAAATACGCAAGCCGTGAATCGACGTGACTGTGAAGGCTATTCCATAGAAGAATGAGAATGCTTAACTACATCGTGACTACCTTCTACAATCTTATAAAAATCTTACACTTAATTACGTGCGTTTTTTCGTACAAAATACGTGATCACGTGACGTCCGATAATTCGTTATTCCGAGACAGTTGTCTTTATTAGTTAAACGTGTTCATACACCCAAGAAAAGATTTCGGTGAGAAGGTAGAGAAAATAAAAAATAAATGTTAAATCTTTAAGATATTTATCGTATTAATTAAATTGTAATCACAATGGAACAAGACATTGTGTATCTGACGAAATAATTGGTACTTGTTGGTTATCGGGACACAACACGAAAGAGTCGAATATCTTGACCTGCTTATCCAAATAAAATATAAAAATTTATCATTTATTGAAATAAAATATTATAACTTTCAAGCATATGTCATTTATCCACACACATTAACCTAACCTAACCTAACCTATTTTAAAGCGATGTGTCCCGATAACCTACAAGTACCAAATAATTTATTATCTGTTAATTGTAACCTGCACCCAAATACGATGCCATCGTGGCGTATGAGAGAGTGGTAATAATGCACTATGCGATCTTAATTTTTATATTAGACGTATGGTTTATCGACTTCAAACCCCGACCTCTTTAACCCATAAGAATGTGCGAACTTGCTTGACGAGATGGTGAAGAACAAAACAGTCAGTCATTTCATTAACAGCTATCCAGGCTCAATAAGCTATTTCTGCGATGAAATAAAAATAAACTGTTGGCGTCTCCGTAATATTTATATTACAAGTAATCATGACGCTTGTAAGTTACGTATGGCGACTGTATTTGAAAAATGAATGAAGGGTCAAAACAATTTACTTTACACTCCTATATATACATGTATAGTACAGTAGTTATAAGTATTTACCACCTCAAAATTACAGAAGAGGGTAGAAACAAGTAGTAGAATTTTGGTTATTTACAAAGTTGTATTGATGGTTCGCTCCGATTCCCAATATAGTACCTGTGTCCAACAGGATACAAAAATTAAAGATAAATCAGCGAGTCCTTTCACTGACAGAATTAATATTAATAGAAAACTCTTCTTAAATCAATTTTTACCAACGTGCTAAATTTTAACTACTACACTAACACGCACTAACAATTTTCTCTTCAAACTGACGCCACTAACACTTACGCTCAAAACAGCTCATTCCAGTTTTAGACACGTGTAATTTTATAAAGCAACACCAAAAATGAAAGTTTTTAAATAACAGCTTTGGATTTAATTTCGAACAGTGAATAAAATACTTACAATTGGACATATTTTCTGCAGCTATACGCCGTGGCGTATTCGTCTGTTTGTTTACATCTCAACTACTACCTACAACGTGCGCAGTAAGACTGGGATATGCGCAGTTCCTGACGATATGGATCCGTCCCGCTGAAACAAGAATAGAACAGACGAGGAGGGCAGAGCATAGTCCACTCAGGAATTCTGTAAAACCTGTCGCTTACCCAAACTGTATCCCTGTGAAGACTACCATTCCAGTGACTGTACTTGGCGCAGCATGGACGTATGGGCGTATTGTAGCACCATGAATAAACTCCAGGGTGCAAATATGAAATTTTCGTACACAGGCCTATAGACCTAGACAGTTTACGAAGACCCGTATAATGAAATTTCGTTCACACGAATTTTTATATTGAAGGGCAAACCCTCCGTGTGGCTCGCAATCAGAACAGGAACTCATCCTAAATCTTCAGAACAAATTCCATCAATTAATCAAACAAATAAGAAGATGAAACCAAGAAATTGTTGTTATTGTTCCACTGTTCACAAAAATAATTTGGTATTTTATAGCATACATAAATATCTAGTGTTTCTTTTGCTTGAATGTTCCGTTTTAGGCAACAAAACTCTTCATTTTTAATCTTTATTACCACTATAACATTAAGTTTCTCGGAAATAGCGACTCGCTTTACGACGTTTCGCTTTAAAAACTCTCTCCAGCATCGTAACTGTTCATGAGAGTGGTTACTGAGAACGCGAAACAGTCCGGATAAAAATTAAAAAGTCGTGTGTGAACTGAGTAGGCGTTCAAATCTACCGCTTATTCTGACAGAAGCGTGTTTCAAATTACACCGCATCAGAAACTTTATTATGAAATGTTAGATCGAAACAAACTGGTTGCGTAAATAAACTTCAGTTATGTAGGATTTGAGGTTTTCACAGCGGTGAGTATGAAGAGAACTCCCGGAGAGAAATTAGAATTCAGAGACGAGAAATGTAAACGTCAGAAAACATAAAATGATGATAACGAGACAAATAAAAATAAAATAAATGTTAGAATGTATGTATATTTTATTTATTTGTGTTACATTAATGACTGACAGTAGCTCAAAGCACGTTTAACGTAGGGAAATAAATACAAAAACGAACAGGACTAGAAACGAAATGAGGGAAGGAAATTATCAGCAGCAACGAAACGTCATGCAAAACCGATAGCACACACCGGAAGTTTGTTGCTATGGTTACATTTGTACGTATGATTTATCGAACTCGTTTACAAATTATTTTCCCTTTTCTGTATGAAAGTAATCCGGATTTATGCACTGTGAAGAGGAACCTCAAGTAGGTGTCTGCAATACCTCCTACCAGCCGATTAATGCTCCTAGCGTAGACGAAAGATAGCGTACCTTCAGTTCTGACATGACGCCTGTCACTGTGTTGGGGCTGCAGCCTGTTTATTTAGAAGTAGACGCTGTGAGGTCCACAACGAAGTCCAGGACATGGCAAGAGCTGTTGTGGGCGCAAGTGTGCGATTACTGCGAGAAAACTACTTTGCACGGATGGCGGTATCTGACAGAGCCTGACAGACACAGAGTGGAAAGGTAATGTGTTCAGATTCTACAATATTTTATACCCCAATTCCAGGCTGTGGATCGCTATTCTAATAATGTCCCATCGCTTTCATTCTCATTTCGAAATAAAGAGTTTTGTTTTTTTCGTGCATTGACAAGCCTATGTGAAACAAATGTTAAATGCAATTAAAACCTATGTGAAACAAATGTTAAATGCAATATATAACAGAAAACCTTCCAAAATAATTCAGATCAAAGTAAAAGAAAACAATTTTGCTCGTTCTTTTGTGCACTAAAGAGGAATGTTATGGAATGAACATTAGAACTCATTGAGGAAATATTAGAATAACGCGTTTGAAACTTTGATTTGAAAACACGTAGGAAAGACAGCAGTTAGACAAAATGAGCTTCCAGGGGAAAATGATCCTACATTGAATCATATATAAATAGTGTGACAGAAAGCGTAATGGATTCAAGTGACTTCGAATAGGGGCACCAGTAACAAATCTTTGGGTGCATATAAGACAAAGAATGTCTTGACTAGTTGAGAAACTATTAGCTTCTAAAGAAGGACTCTATAGTGTGTTGCGCAGACAGATGGACGAAGGTGCATATGTGGAGACAGGTGAATATAAGGACAGACAGACAGATTAACAACCAGTTGATCAATTAGTCAGTTATATCATTTTACAATGGATTTAACTACGTTCTTAATGCACATTCTTCACTGAAAACAAAGTGTCTGAAAGTAAGATGCTCGGGAAATAAGTAAAGAATTTGAGATATATTCGACTTTGTGATAAATCTTGGTGAGATGTGCTGTGAGGATGGCAGGGGGGGGGGATGAAGCTGGCTCAGCATAATATTCAGTGTTGTTCTATGGTACTGATGATGATCAAACGTCACGTTAAGTTTCTGAAGCTGACACTTTTAGCAAAGGATACTGTCGTTGCAGACGCAAATTTAAATACTGTTTACGTCAAATTCGAAGTGTAAGTAGATGTGAACAACATCAATTACGAACTTTAATATAAGAGCGTTATGTATTAGTAAGGAACTTGAATCGGACGATGGAGGAATGTCATAAAATGTAGTAGGATTTAGGGGAAAAATATTAAACAAATATTCATTTTACACAGGTTACTCTGGGTGATAATTCAGTTTCTCGCCACTTGGGGAGTTATTTTTATAATTCTGGATGTATGGAGTGAATATGTCAACTCGCCGACAGTGACAACTGTGGACTCCACCACATACCCGATATGGAACGTTCCCTTCCCTGCTATAGCCGTGTGCAATATCAACAAGATCAGCCGTTCGGCAACTTGGAATCTCGCTCAAAACCTGTACGTCACAGAACAAAATTAGCATAATTTTTATTTACTACCTTAATTTCAAAACATCTATTGCCATGTAAAATTTGAGATTTTCACAGCAGTGAGTTTGAAGATTTCTGTATTCTGGGTTGTTGCGCTGTGTAGTCTGGTCGATGTTTTAGAATCACCCTGATGACGGAGGCAGTATGACCTCTGAAACGTTGGTAAACATCGACCATACTACACAGTGCAACAACCCAGAAGACAGAAATCTTCATACTCATCGCCCTGATGATGGAGGCAGTATGACCTCTGAAACGTTGGTTAACATCGACCAGACTACACAGCGCAACAACCCAGAAGACAGAAACCTTCTTCTATTGCCATGTTTCGCTACAAATAGCGCAGATACAGCAGCTCCCAAGGGGGCGATAATAAAAGATCTCCTACGAGTAGAAATCAAGTTACTCGTATTTCATGGAATTGAGACATTATGATATTCTCGCCTCTCTACTAAGTAATCCCCGAGAAGAAATTTACTTAACGCGACGCGAATTGAAATGGATCTTAACTAGAAAAAGCGTCTGATTATCTGCTTATAATATGCCACAATGCTTAAAGACAGTTAATACCTGGTAGAAAGTTCTGGTTAAAAATAAATAGGTCTCCACCATAATTGTAGGTAACCCTTGAATTCGAAACTGTAACCCTAAATAAATTTTTAAAATCACTTTATTATCCCCACTTATTAAAACATTTTAACCCAACATTATTTCTCGATTAGAATTTCACTGCGACGTATGTATCATGCAAGGAATTAATGTCACCTTTTCGACGGAAATTGAGTAAATAATTAATAAACCCATGCTGGTTTGTATTTATCGTGCCACAGTAGCAAAAGCAAGACCTCTGAGTAATTGCTGAATGGCATGGCAATTTGCATTTCCCTTATCAAAACTAGCAGAATGAATTATCTGTCGATAATTCATTTATATATCTCGATCGAGGTCATCGGCGTTTTGACGCTAAGTAGCCTTGTAAATGGTTACCAACTTTTTGGAGAAAAAGTGACTAATTCATGTCATACAGATGAGAAAGATACGGTCCTCCGAAATGATAGCAATTACCTACAGATTACAAGGTATTACAATGTATAAGACTATGACCAGCATCTTTAAAGTCAACAAATTTCAAATCTCACTTAACTATGAAGCTACTGTCATAAGTAGGTCATCATACATTTCATATTTAATTCATTAAAAGGATAGTTTTAAAATATATTAAAATTGTCCGTCAATCACAATAAAGTAATATAAGATAATTAAATGGTTAAAATATTATCCTTTGTTCCGTATCGAGTACTCGATTTACATATGGAACATTCTCGACATGTTTCGGCTTTCATAGAGCCGTCATCAGGTGTATGTTATAAACTCTTAATTCAATTACTAATTTTTAATTTTTTAATTTTCTGATCATTTCTTCGTTTTTAATATATTTTAATACTATTTAAATGAAATCACAATATGACGCAATATATTATATGTCATTTGCTGTCTGTTTTCTACGAAAGGAATAATGACGGAATATGGTAGCACTTTACTGTGAGGTGTACAGAAGTTGGCAGAACGTATAAAAGGAATATAACATGTTCCTTGTAGGATGTGATATTTCCACGGCAGTGAGTCTGAAGATGGCTGTCTTCTGGGTCGTTGCGCCGTGTGGTCTAGTAGAAGCAGGAAGGACCTCTGAACGTCGGTAAACTTCTACCAGACTACACGGCGCAACAACCCAGAACACAGCCATCTTCAACATGCTATTTAGCACATAAAATTAATGCTCTTAAATCTAATTCATTCCAATGCCGTGATTAAACTGAAATATGTATAAATCAATAGCAGACTTTTTTTCTCTCAATGACGACTGACGAATTTATCTCCTTCGGCTTTAGGTCAACTTACCACACTTTTACTCTCACTTGTTACTTGCTACATAAATATTCGTTGTTTAAATACTTTTTCTTTCCCTCAAGGGATTTAGATATCCATTAAAACCAAATATTTAATTTAATAATAAGAAAAAATGAATTAAAATTTACTTAACACAGTATAAAACATGGTTGTTACTATAAAAATTAATTTTCAGTCTTTTGCAGTCTAAAGCACCTCGATAATATGGAAGAGTAAACAAGTATTTCTAAAAATACGTGCATCTACTCTATTCTCGCCTCAGTTTGTAAATCTACACTCTATCATGTAACCTCCATGAGCATGCAGAAATGTAATTTATACACATTTACGAATTATAAAGATACGAAATTAAAATGTTGTTATTTCCACAGGAGCAAATCACGTAACGTTTCGGCAGAAGAATTATTTAGCTTGATGCAGTACCTCGGACGTCTTTATGACCATGACCCGGATGACATCAAAAAAATGCAAAAACTGCACAGTATATTGGCAGACAAAAACGAAAACTACGATGTGGACTCCATGATGAAGAACGTAGGTCCAATTGCAAAATCACCTTCTACGCCCCCATGCTTTCTACATATGCTCCTTTAATACTTCAT